CACCAGCGAGGGGACATTCCATGGGGAGGCAGGGCGATGTCACGGTCCTTGATTTTAATCTATTCATAAAGGGCTTTTGAACCACTCTTAGTCTGACCCATCACCCAGGACCTGTTTGCCTTGGGAGACCCTACCAGGGGCATATAGCCCCCAACAACATAGCTCCTAGGATCACTCGGGTACTCAAACCCCTCCACCACAATAAGGTGGCGGTTCAAGGAGGGGTAAATATATTTATATAGTTTTTAAATAAATATAAATAAGTGTTCAATCATATCCACACCAATCAACCTTTCATCTTGCTGCATTTTGCAGAGGAAATCCATGGCTTGAAAAAGACCTAGGCTGAGTAAACTACCTTTATGTATAAAAGGACTACTCTTTAAACAAAGAGTAGGAAAACTGTGATCTGTGAAATAACCTAGTAACTTGCACCAATTTAAAGAGATTTATGTTTCCCCAAAAAACTGACTCAAGGTCTGCTAAAAATTTATGTCAGGCTCAGTGTAAAGTAAACTATTCCCCTACTTAGACATCATGTCATGTTGTTTGGCTTTATTTATAGTAGGTTATTAATGTAATCGATAGCCTTGTCCCATTTATCAGAGCATACAGAGATACTCCATGTACTGCTGAGAATAAAACACAAGTTGAAGAGCACAAAACCATGTGTTCTGAAGACCTGCCAGAAGTGGTGCTCATGATAAATGTGCTCTCCTCAGACACAAAGAGCTTTGAAATCTAATGAAATCTTAACCCTTGACAATCTAATCACACTCCATGGCAGCTACAGGTGGCCATGTTCGCTAATTTCTCCCAGATGCTTTGACTAAAGCAATCTGCTTTATGGTATAATCTGTGGAAACAATTTAGCATCAGGACTCATTATCTTCCTGCTGTTTGTTGAACATGTCTTACATTGTGGATCTTGTCTGGAATACAAAGAGGAGTTTGTGAAAAGCTAACACAAGATGCATCGTTTTGACATCACATGAGTTCTTACAACTGTTAGAGCCAGGTTAGGCACAGAGTCACTGAGTCTGGTGTTTCAGCATTTTGGTTCCCTGTTGATAAAAAAGACAGAGAGATAACCTTTGATCCATCAGAATAACCAGGAATGATTTCTGACATGTTCTTTGTAACAAAAAAAAAAAAATCCAATGTTTCCAAGTGGCAATGTGGCAGACAGACTGTGCAGCAATCTGTGATTTCAGGACACATGTGCAGCCCAGGCTCAGACTTCACATTTCATTCCAACAGCGTGCCATTGAGGACCTGCAGAATGAAGAGGAGAAAGTGAACCTGCTGACCAAAGAGAAAACCAAGCTACAGATGCAAGCTGAAGATGTAAGTGCATATCATGTACAGTATGTATATTTACTGCACTGACAGAGAACGAAAGAGGCAGCGTGTTAGTGATTAGCTGGTGCATATATTGGAGCATTTAGCATTTATATTGAACTTTCCAGGTGACTAGAAGGAGGACTCCAACTTAATGCTAATGTTGCTCCGTGTCTGCTGCATGTGTAAATAATCAGCTGTTATTATTTTGAGTCCGTTTTCTGTCCTGTGCCACTCTCACCAGCCCCAGCTTGACTCTGACCCTGATTGGCTTATTACATTCACCTGTCACTCATTAGCGCTGCCTGGCCTGCCTTTATAATCAGGAAGACTGATGACGTTACATACTGAATTGCTGCTGTGTCTGCAAATGTATGTAAATAAAATGAGTATAACTTCACAGCTACATCAGTCTTCCTCTTACAAATAAAAAGTTGAGTTTATTGCCAGTTACAGTTTGTCTTATAAAGTACACAAATGCAGACTCCAAGACAAGGATATGTTCATTAGCAAACTAAGCTCTAATAAGACACAGGCAGGTGTCCAGATAAGCAGTCAATACAGGAAATAACAGAAACTACACAAGGAGAGTCTAAGAGTTTTAGACTCTAAGACTATAGGTAAAGCTGTCATCAGGACAGTGTGAGACAAGTGGGCCTCCCCCTGTTTTACAACCCTGGGCCTAATGCCACCGTTGATGAGCAGCTGATGCTATTTAGGGGCCGCTGCCCCTTTAGGCAGTATATGCCATCCAAACCAACAAAATACAGTATAAAGATCTGGGCTGCCTGTGATGACACTACCTCATATGCTTGGAACTTGCAAGTCTACACAGGGAAACCTGATGGAGGAACCCCTGAGAGAAATCAAGCTATGAGAGTTGTCCTGGACCTGACTCAGCAACTTTGTGGACACAACGTCACATGTGACAATTTTTTTTACCCCGCACAAGCTGGGACAGGTGCTCCTAAAGAGGAAGCTGACCATGGTGGGAACAATTCAGAAAAACAAGTCTGAGCTTCCACCCCAACTGTTCATTATAAAGAAAGGTCCTGTCAGCTCTTCAAAGTTTTTGTACTGGTGTCCTATGTGCCAAAGAAAGGCAATAATGTTCTTTTGATGAGTACACTGCACAGGGATGGGAAAATCTGTGGCCAAAAACCACAGATCATCATGGACTACAATGCCACAAAAGGAGGGGTGGACAACATGGACAAGCTGGTGACTGCCTACAGCTTCAAAAAGAGGACACTACGCTGGCCACTGGTAATTTTCTTTGACATGTTAGACATCTCAGCATATAACATCTTTGTCATCTGGATGGCACTGAACCCAGAGTGGAACAGAAGGAAGCTCCAGAGGAGACACTTCTTTATGGAGGATTTGGGAAAGGCACTGGTGAGACCTCAAATCCTTAGTAGAGAACATATTCCAAGAACCCCATCCTCTGCATCAATCATGATGAGGATTCAGGAGGAAGCTGCTGGTGCCCCATCCACCGGACCTACAGAACCAGAGAGCCTGAGGTAAGTGTAGGATGCTGTTGCAGTATTTTTGTGACACTCATGCTTTGCTAGAGAGAGAGAAAGGTGTTAGGTGCTAAGTATAATTCCTATTATAATAATTCTTTTCAATATGCTAGGTTGCAGGCGGCAGCAGCAAAAAGAAACACTGCGGAGTGTGTGTGGACCCAAGGCAGACCGAAAAACGCAGCACACATGCATCAAGTGCAAGACATACTGTACATATGCAACACACAGTAAAACTCTGCCCCTCATGTTGTATAGGTTGGCATGTGTTCAATGTGTTGTGTAGACTGTGATGGTTACTGTATGTGTTCAGCCTGTGTTGTGTAAACTGACCTGAATGGGTTAAATTTTAATTGTTTCAATTAAAAATCAGTAGTTGTGAAAAATCTTGCTTCTGCTCATATCTTTATTATAATCAATTTTCTTTAGCAAAAAAATCAGTGGCTCCACCAGACCCACAAACATTGGCTGAGTAACAATATGAGTAACATTTCTAAAGCAGTTTAAAAAATCAGTAGTTATGAAAAATTGTGCTTCACTTGTAAAATTGATTTTTTTTCAACTTGTATCTAGATTATAATTGATTTAATTACATTTTAACGAAAAAAAGTAGCAGCACATAATTCATAAATGTGATCTAACAAAGGTAAAGGGCAAATGTTAACCTTATATGTTGTTTACATTGCTTGTAATTGGAATGAAGTAAATATCTGAGTATTTTAACATAAAATTGTTTGTGGTGAATTAAAAACCTCAAAATTCAGTGGGTCCACCAGACCCACAAACACTGGCTGAATTACAAATATTTTGTGTCCCACAAGGTTTACTTATTTGCTGTGTCTTAATGTATAACTGTATGGTGAATAAGTAGTTTAACTTTAATCATATCATGTAAGACAATAGATTTTTAAAGGTCGATGTAAGACCAATATATTAGTCTAACCTTTGCATCCAACAGAAGCATCCATGCTGCACACAGCAATATTAGGTTATGAACCAACTATATTACATTAAAATGCAAAATGAGATTAGTTAACCTAATTGTAACCTTGCTGGCCAATTGGTCTTGCCAAATGTTTGGAAATGCATAATTTTACACAAAATGGTCAATATAAAAGATGTTGATTACCAGCACAAAATATTTAAGTATTGGCAGCTGGAGTCAAGAAAATATTTGAACCCAGATCCTCAGTCCAGCTACAGTATATGGTACATCCTGCAGTATTTTTTACATTGTCCCTTCTTGTAAATTGCTCATGTTCAGTTGGAGTACCAGCTAGAACAGGAGCGCCGACAGCGTGGTGAGCAGGAGAGGAGCAGGAGGAGGCTGGAAGGTGACAGCAGATCCACTCAGGAGACCCTGGGAGAGATGGAGAAGAGGAGAAGTGGCCTGGAGGACCTGATCAAAAGGTCAGTCATAGATTTTCTAATATGTAAAAGAAAGTCCAGCTTGTCTTTTTCAGTCCAAATCACAAAGAGGTGCTACAATAAAGAAGAACATCCCATCCAGGAAAACTATTATTTGGGCCCACACAACAAACACTTGCTCTGTTTGTCAATAGGGCCAACACTTGTCAACAACTGTTGGATAGCTTTCCATTAAGTTTCTTTTCAGACATGGTCTGAGAGAATAAATCTCCCAGGGTGTGATAACTTTCTGACCTTTAGTGTCAACATAAGGTTGATATTGTAGGGATTTGGTAAACTGCCTTTTAACTATAGACTAGAATGCCATCAATTGGTTGCAAGCAGGTAAATACTAATGACTTTGGTGACCACCTCACCTTTTGCTCTAGCCCATATCTTCTAACATCTACAAATGTTATACCATCATTCAAGGTTCCCAGACAATTGATCCTAGAAACTAATGATTCCCTGGTGGCTCCTGAGGTTGACATTTCTGGGTTTTTCACAAGTTAACTCTATCTGCCGCTATCATGTACAGTAGATGATTACATTTGTCTCACTTATGTTAATGATTTCAATACCTGGAGTAGCAGCAGTCTCATCTGATGGGAAAGTATTTAGTGTTTAGGGCCCATTATCAGATGTTATCATGCTAAAGATCAGTATGTAAAGATTAACATTGCCAGTATGAGCATATTATTGTCTAGCTCAAAGCACCTCAGAGCATCTGCTGTAAAAGCTTTGCTCTGTTTTCCTCTCTCTTCCCTTTGATATTAGTTTCTATTCAATTTTTCTAGCATGAGCTATTCAGTTTACTGGTGCCCTATAACATGGAGTGGTAAGTTAAGATAAACTAGCCTCCTCCATCCAGTGACCATAAGGTAACAACAAACACACATAAACAATATCAGAAGTATACATTTTGCTAACTATGTTGTCAAACCTATAATACTTCATTTATATTGGGCTACAAAAGGCAGAAAAACTATGGCAAATGATTTTTTTTAATGTTTCTATATTTAAAGCAGATGCATGTGATGGCAGGTCTTATCCACAACTGTCTGTGGATGTTGCTGTTCTGATCATGTGTTACACTCAGAAATGAAACACACTGACAAACCTTTTGACACTGATATGATGCAGAAGAGCTTGGACCCTGGGAGGCTGTAATATTACTGCTCCACAGATCAGTCTACTCACTAGGAGGTTTCCACATCCCAAGGCATTCACAAACATTCTGACAGGTCCCTTTTCTGCCCTCCTTAATATGAGGGCAAATTGAATCATTCATGCAACAACAGTCAGCGAAGAGGAGAACCAACTGTCAGCTCTTGGTGATGCTACTACATCACACACCTTAGTAAACTGTGCAATAAAGCAGACAAGCATTGTTTCTGTAGTACTCCTGTTGGTAGCCGTTAAATAACATTTGTATTGGATAGATCTGAATGACAAAAGACCATGACGTCAGATGTATTATATCTGAAAAGGGCTAATACTGTACATCTTCTTATAAACTGTGTTCTTGATTTCACACAGGACAGTTTAAATAAGTTCTACTATTGGAAACGAGGACATGGCGAAAAATGTCACAGCATTTTTTGTATTTTTGGTGTTTTTCACTGTCTAACATCTGTTTCTCTGAGCTGGTTCAGCTGGGAATTACTTTTTTTTTAAGATGTTGCTCAGTGGCATCTGTGGCTGATTCTTAACTCAGGGTTCACTTACTAGCTGTTTGCTGGGCCTTCAACCGCATCTCACTGAGTTTTGCAAATTCATTCACCTGAAGAAAACAAACTCCACTAAAAAAAGCCGATGGAGTGTGGAGCAAAGTTACAGAAAATTCTAGGGAACCTGGAGTTAATTTTATTTTAGTCTTTTAATGAATACCGTTTCCCTTAATCAAGGGTTTAACTGTGTGTTATAATAAATATGTGGCTATAGGTAATTGCAATTGATGACAATTAAGTAGACTATTTTTTTTACCAGTGGTAGAATTCATTTAGTTTGTAATCTGTCTCTGAAGGAAGGATCTGGAGATCAGCAGTGCCTGCTCCAAGCTAGAAGCAGAAGAGGCCCTTAACACAGACCTGCAAAGGAAGAGCAAGGAGTTGCAGGTCATTCATTTACATATTATACAGGTAGTGTTTTGTGTGTGTGTGTGTGTGTGTGTGTGTGTGTGTGTGTGTGTGTGTGGTGGCGTTGTGGATGAGTGGAACATAATGTTAAACACTTGATGGAGCCATTTGTGTGCTCTTTTTGTGGCTTTAGGTGCTACAGATGTTTGTATACTCTCTAATGGTTAGCTTAGTTTTCCATTTAGCCAAACATACAAAACAAGTGGCTCTAATAAAATGAAGACTGAGCATTGGTCCATTATGTATCATCCACAACCGCCTGTAGAACAGTTCCATTCCTTCCCTTTGTGGGTCATGGCAATCCTGCTAGCAGGCAGATGACTATGTGCCTTCCACCTGTAGCCCCTAATTTCACAAAATGTGGTGAAAATTTTCAAAGTGCTGCAGGATAAAGCAGGTCTCATTTAATACAAGTACCTAGATAAAATCTTGTTCAACCTGCCGGTGGTTTTCAAGATTTATCATTTTAGATCATCAGGAGCACTGAGGGGCCATTCTCACGTTATATCTAACACACGGTTCTAATGTAAACAAATGAAGCAGTTATTGCATCCTCAACAAAAGTAGTGCTGTAGAAAGCATCAAACGATATGTGATTTTTGGTGAAAAATGGAAGCTGATGTGCAGTAGTGATAATACTAACATTATTGTTTTGGTCTGTATGTAAGCCCACCATTAGCAGCACCCACTTATCCTTTAGAGGGTTGTGCAGTAGCCCGGAGCGGGGATGACACAAAGACAATCATTCACACCTATGGACAATTAACCTAACCTGCATGTCTGGACAGTGACAGGAATTATGACTCCTTACGTCCACCGAGGAGGTTGTTTTTGGTTCTATGTGTTTGTTGGTTAGCAGGACTATGGACAAACAGCTGGATGGTTCATCTGGATACTTGGTACAGACATTGTTGGGGACCAACCCTAGAAGTGATTAGATTTTGGCTGAAAAAAAGTCAAGGTCACAAAAAATGTAAAATTCCCATCTTTAACATGGGGCAGAATTAAAAAAAAAAATCACCTATGTCAAAGTTATCAATCATCTTTTGAGACTAGACACACATACTGTATGTAGGGGGGTCCGATGTCTGTCACCAGACCAAATTTCATCCAGATCTGATCTGAATTCTGGGCTACTGCTTTTATAAAATGACTTTAGAAACAAGAACACTCAAAGAGCACACATACCTCTGCAAAGGCACAACATTCAAATCTATTTGTGGTTGCTCAACATTCACAACAATATTTCTCAATAAAAGATTGGTGCATCTCATTTACAGTATCCCTTGGCGACAGGAACTAGAAGTAGAGCAGCGTTATCACACTGCTGGAGATTTGTCAAACACACATTTTCACTTGTCACAGCAGGAAAAACACAGCTGTAGCAAAAACAATATCACTGGACTTGCTCCATTTAGATGTTCCGGTAAATTATGCCAGGGAACGACATATTTTTCCATACAGGCCATTTCTGTTTTTCTGTATCTTTATCATTGTGGATCATATGTAAAGTTAGGCTACTACTGACATATAATTCATGCATAAGGGTGATTAGAACTAGTTCATTATAATAGAGATACCTTATCAACTTCATTCTAAAACACTCACTTCAATTCTGGTGCCTGTAACATGTTCCAAAAAAAGTTGAGGCGGCTGCATTTCAGGGCGATTGGTTCACAACTCCCACGCTCTTTTCTTTCTTCCTCATCTTAATTGTAAGCCATTTCTCAGAAACTATCATCTTTTCACTGTCTCATTCTTGACTTTGCTCACTGTCAGTGTCTGTATAATTCTGTTTGTCTGTGCAGAAAGAACGCTGTTCCAGGCTTTCTTACCTCCTGCCCTCCCTCCCTCACTGCATCTCAGAGTTAGTTCTAAGTGGAAGAGACAGGCATTTAGTCGAGCAGAAATCAGCTCCATACACCAGCTGGGAGCGGCTCAGATGGTGATAGCAAAGGACTAGTAAGTTAAGTGTAGCCTTTCTCCACCCACTCCAACCCGCCTACCCTCACCTCTTCACCTCTTTCCTACAATCCCCATCACACTGGACTGTTGACCCCAAATACTTAAACTCCTGCACCTTCTTGACCTCAGCCCCCTGTAACCTCACTGTTCCACTTCCCTCCCTCTCGTTCATACACATGTATTCTGTGTTACTATGACTGACTTTCATTCCTCTTCTTTCCAGAGCAGACCTCCACCTTTCCAGGTGTTCCTCCACCTGCTCTCTGCTCTCACTACAGTACACTTCTTGTCCATTCCTCAGGCATCTTCTCACTCTCTAAAATCCTGTTGAACAAACTAGATAGAAACTCCACTGCTGTCTCTCCTAGACACTTCCACACCTCTACAGGTATGTCATCTGGACCAACAGCCTTTCCACTCTTCATTCTCCTCAGAGCCTTCCTCACCTCATCCTTTCTAATCTCTGCTACTTCCTGCTCTACAATATTCACCTCTTCCCCCCTTCTTTCCCTCATTTTCCTCATTCATCAGCTCCTCAAAATACTCCTTCCATCTTCTCTGCACACTCTCCTCACTTGTTAGCACCTTTCCATCTGTCTTTAATTGCCCTTATCTGTTGCACATCCTTCCCATCTCTAGCATTGTCTCGCTAATCTGTACAAGTCCTTCTCACCTTCCCTCATGTCTAACCTGGCATACAACTCGTATGCTTTCTGTTTGGCCATTGCCACCTCCCTCTTCAGTGCAAGTTTTTGTAGTCCTGTCTTCAGTCCTTTCTACATCCCACTTTTTTAGCTAGCCTCTTGAATGCTGTCCTGTACTTCCTCATTCCACCACCATGTTTCCTTATCTTTCCTCCTTCCAGATGACACACCTAGCACCTTCCTGTCTCCCTGATCACCTCTGCTGTAGATTCCCAGTCATCTGGAAGTTCTTCCTGACCACCCAAAGCCTGAATTCCTTATGACAGTCTCTTTTGCAACTTCCACCACTTGGTTTTTGTCTTTCCTCTGCTCTTCTTCCTGACCATCAGAGTCATCCTACACACCGCCATCCGATGCTGTCTGGCTACACTTTCTCCTACCACCACTTTGCAGTCACTAATCTCTGATTGCCTCATCTACATCAAATGTAGTCTACCTGCTCTCTACCTTTCCCTGTCATTGTGCCAATGTTACGAGTCCCTATTCTCAGACCTATACTCCTGCCTTTCTTCTGTCTATGAATCCTTCTACCTCCCCTCCTTCGACCAACAGTAGTCCAATTTCTGCCAGCACCCTGTTAGGTCAAGAGCACTGGTGGCGGTCGTTACCCCACGCCTCAACTGATCTGGTATGGAATTCACACGGATTTGAAGGTTTAAATTTGGCATGTTTATGCCAGATGCCCTTCCTGATGCAACCCTCTTTTTATCTGGGCTTGGCTAGATTTATAGAACTGCATTTAACCAGATGCCCTTCCTGATGCAACCTTCTATTTATCTGGGCTTGGCTAGATTTATAATAGAACTGCATTTAGGCCACGTAAATACACAAGTACTTTATTTTCCCAATGCACATTCCTTTCTTGTAGTTTACACTTGTGCCATAAGGCAACATTGAGCTACTGTACTGAGTCCAGTTCATGTTTTTACACACCTGGCCAACAAAAGCTTATTTGTACAACTTTGAACTCAAACCCTGTTCAACTTCAGACCAGAAAACCAAAAGTGCAGACATGGGATGACAAGGTATTCAGCTTCAAGATTTTATTGAAATTCACATGACTCAAAGAACAGTCTTCAAGCTGCAAACGAAAGGGGAAACAAAGTCAATACACCAGTACATTAGATTGTCTTCAGCATGAAAAACCAATCCACATTACAATAAGATTTTTGCATCTTAATTTAAAGGATGCAATTAAATTTTTCCTTGTAATTGGGACAGTGAGTCAATATAGACCGTTACCTGCAGTACAAGGGTAGATGTACTTTGTCTGAGTCTGGTCACCTGGGAGAGAAATCAAAGATGAGCACAAAACCAGAGTGGCATATTGTTTCACTGCAGTATGTTTGTTTACAAGGGATCAAACACTGTATATTTAATTTATGTCACTTTCTATCCAGTGTACGTTAGATACAACTGTTGAATTATAGGCCAACAGTTCAAAGCCTGAGTAGTGTTTCACATGGCTGGTAGTAGTCATAGGTCTCAACCACAGCTGGCTTCAGGTTCTGCACTGGGAGCTCTTGTACAAGTACCAACTGGAGGTTGACTGGCATAATTTTTTGCAACTGTGGGCAAAAACCAGTTAGTTAAAAGCAGTGTGAAAATCATTTGCCCTGCAACCCCCATAAATTCCTGACCTCTTGAATGTAAACCACAACATGATCTTCCTCTTGTTCAATACGATCCACCAGCAGGGCACTTTTGAGCTGTGGGGAGATGTTCAGTGTTGGTAACCAAAAACAAAAAGCATGTTTCAGGTGAAATTCACTGCAATACTCACCTTGTTCATAGACTCTTGGTCAGGAATGAACCCAGAGAGCATTTTGATATCCAGGATCACCATGTTTGTACTGATCTCCTTTCCACTATATCTGGAATGACTACATGTCATGTTACTCAGGGAGAGTTCACCTTATTCTTTGTAGCTCTGATAGTCAAGCATAACCACCTGGCACTGTAATGTGTGCAATAGCTACATTTTCAGCAAACAGTTACTTGGTACAGTGCGTTACTGTCACTACTTTAACTTGCTTACTTACTTACAAAGTGATGTTCAGAGTCAGTCTGGGAGATCTGTCATTGCAGTCAATCACTGGTCTGACACGCACACCGAGAGTTGTGCCTTTGGTAGGAGTTGGGATGTTGTAGTGAAGAGAGATCTGGGAAACAAGGTTTAACATTTCCTAAAACGTTCAATGAGTCTTTGTTTTATGGAGCATCCTTTGATAAGTGTCACCTAGTTTTCACAGAGGTCCATTTTATGAGCTAGTTTTAAACTGGTGCCAAGTTTAAAACCATGACAGGATGACCAGGTCCACAAAACTCAATAGTTTAGGAATCAGGATCATGCCTAGTCATAGAGCTTTATACAGCCAATACTACCTGCTCTGCAAAGTTAATTATGCTGAGCAGTGGCATCTGGAAGCATGGTTACAAGAGGAGCAGAAAGCAGAGAATGTGGCCTATAATGACAGTGTAGCAACTGATCAAAGCTCCAAGAGGAACTCCTGTTAACAGAAGTGCTCCATTGACTGACCTGCACTGAGACACATGCAGTACCCTTCACCTCCAGGCTGTAGCTACTCATCACCCCCCTGCAGCATCTTCTCCTGGTACAGCAGTTTGTTTTTCTGGTTCACATCAAATACCAGCACACCACGGGAAGACTGGACCGTCACTGTGCTTGAACCCATTGAACTGAACACCAGAGTGGCGTAGAGAGCCAGAGCCTGAAGAGCCACCACTGTGTCCTGCCATACACAGCTCAACATAAAGCAGGTCTTTTACAATAGTCACTTTCAAAACTAAACTAGCAGTAATCATGGCAAATTCAGAGGACTAACCTCAGTTGGTGTCAATTATTCTAATAGGGCTGTAACTTTGGTGTGATCAAGCACTGAATGTTGAAGTCTCAGGTGGTGTGAAATCCACTAGTGTCTAAATTGCCATTTTGCATTCCTTATGATGCATGGCCTTAAACCCCTCTTTATAGCCAAATAGTGTCTCATTTAACTCCAAGTAGCTTCCATATGAATGTTCCAGGCTCTTGCGTATCACAGGATCCTTTTAACGGATTAAGACATGAATAGTATGAGCTTTTGATTACATTCAGGGACCACAGATACAGTGAGTGGCTGCAGTCATATGCAATTAGTTAACATTTAGTGGTTTATGAAAATTTTACACCTCATGGTAATGTCGTGCACCTCGTAGACTGCTGTTCCTACATTTAGGGAAATGTGAGAAAAGACTTGAAGCAACAGTGAAAAGCACATGATCTTAAGTCAGGGGGCTCTAAAAACCAGAAGCCATTCAAAATGCATAAAGCCATCAAGTGTCATAACCACTTTTCTGCTCCATGTTTCTAATGCTGCCAGCCAATCAAAATGCAATACTAGTTAAACTACAGCCGTGAGGTTGCATTTGTGACAAGTTAAAAATGTTTGCCACTCATGAAATTTCAGTCATCTTTGAAATGGCACATTATTCCAATGAGGCACCACAGTCAAGACCAGTAATTCATTGACAGGTGGGTTTCATTCAAACCTTAATGTTTTTGGTCATTTCTGTGCAAAAGCCGTCTAGAAAGGTATCACTTCCAACTGGACATTTTGCCATATTCAAAATTCATACCCACTACTATTACATGTTAAATGCTAGCATCACTTATTCATACCTACAGCTTGTAAGATATGAATGTATACTAAAGGATTTTGTTCTGAGAAGGCATTTTATTCAGCAGGGAGTGGGTGATACAAATAACCTGGAAAGACCAACAGAAAAAAAGGAACTCAACTCCAATGTACCAGCTTTAAATATTTATCTGCATTATATGCACAAAGCTAAGGGCTTGTATTTACAGGGTATTCTAAAGCTTTTCCTTCCTGCAGTTCAGACAGCCTGAGATTGATACAGCAAGTCTACTCACATTTACAGACACTTTCATCTCCAGGAAGGCAGCAGTGATGTAAGCAGAGAGTGCCACGCTAGATGACACACCACCCTGTACAGAGGAAGCATCCAATTTTTATCTACACACCAACCTTCAGTTTCATACAAGTGTACGGGTGCCAGCAGCTTACCTGTATTCCGTTGTCGTAAATTCTCCGATTATTGAAAACAGCCATTTTCTTGTTGCTGGCTCACCAGCCAAGTTTTAGACTGTTCATTTACATTTGGGTCAATGTAGACTGAAAGACTGTGCTTTGACAAAAGTCCGCAGCACAAACGCCGTCAGCCTGAGGAAAGTAAAACATAAAATGCCAAAACAGGACGCCGTCAGCCTGAGGAAAGTAAAACACCGACATAAAATGCCAAAACAGGGAGGAAATGACATTTCCTCAACTTCTGCAGCTGAGTGCAATCATATGTACCAGTGTTGAGGTACACTGTGCTGTAAAGATTGATCAGTCACTCACCAAGTGTTTCCTGGTACTACTCCAAATGTGCTGAAAGAGCCGTTATCAAGTTTGTACTTCAGCTCTCTCTGGTAGCCTACTAAACAAAAACATGCTTAGTGTTAGACCAATATTGTGAGGATGATGGTTTCAGACACCTGACAGTAAGTGAAGGGTGAGTGGAGGAATGTGATGCATCATTTAGAGCTGCATTGTTAGAAATGGCAAATGTCATCCTCTTCAAAAGCAAACAAGACTTGCCACTAATTAGGAAGTTGGTAGCCTTTTCCTTGAGGGCTGGGTCAGCTGCCCTGTGTTTGTCAGGTACTGGAGGATGTAGATATCAGGGGCCAGAAGCACCATGTTCTGCTCCCCGCATCCATATGGCATTTGCAGCAGCCCATCCAGGTTCTGTAGGGCTCTGCCCAGGATGTCACCTGCACAAAGAGTCAGTAAGCCCAGTGTGTCTGTCAAACTTGCCAGAATGTTCAGTTAAATGAACTCTTGTTCACCCAGGGCTGATACTGAAGCACTTGCAAATCCAGAAACCACATTCTCAGGGAGGCGTACATCTATTTTGTCTGTCAAAGCTTGTCCTGTAGAAAGACAGAAGTCACCTTACAATGGTGAACTACAATGGTGAACCTCAACAGCAATTCTTTAGATCAAGTGGAACAGGTCAGAAAACTGGACGTTCCTCCATTAGGTTATCAATACAGTTAAATGTGCATCTAATTATTTGTTTAAGTCAGTGGAAACAGTTTCTACTTTAAACTGTTATGTCCCCAGGTGTCAATTCATCCAGTTACTTAAACCCCACCCCCCATTTACATATGTTAACCTTGAGTTCTGTCAAGTTTATTCTATGAAACCGAGTGCACAAAGATGCCAAGGAACTGAAAATAAAGTTCTGTACCACATGTGTAATTTCATAAAATTGATTTCAGTTACTTGCATTTGAATATACCTAGCCCTACCCTTGACATGGGCCAACACCCTGGGTCTTGTCGTATCTAATGTAGCAAAATTTTGGTGGAAGCATTTGGCATCTTAAGTTGCTCTGAAGAAATTAATCCCACCTGGCTCAATGTCCTTCAAAGTGTTGACAGCAATGCTAGCCACAATTCACTCGATTTATTGCAACACTGTCACAACCCCTGTCTCAGATTTACTTTACCAACTTTCACTGAGGTGGTGCTCAGTGGTTTCATAGAACAGCAGTTCCTCTACCTTTAATATTTTACACTGGTGTGCATCAGAGTCAGACCTTACCCAAAACTAATGGGGTCATGGTCCAGCTGAAGGTTTTGCGTTCACTACCACACAGATAGGATCTGTGCTGTCACCAGAAAAGGGGGTGACTGTGTAATCCAAGGACGGTGCTGGAGTCACAGTGACCTGTTTGAGACAGTTAAATGCAGCTGTTGTGTTAATTTCTGGCAATAATCATGTTCCATGCCAGTGTGGCATGACCATGGCAATATTGGTCATGTCTGAAACTGCCTACTACATAGACTAAAATGTGCATGTGAGAATAGGACTGAATTATGTAGTATGGAAAAAAGTACATGTAGTATGCACAATGTATAAAACTTGCAATAACATACAGTATGTCATTGCTTCAATATCAGCCCAGGTGAGAATTTAGTTTTCCAGTGTGGTCCAACTAATGCCACTTTAGAAGTTTCCCTGACATGTTAATGGATTAACATACGAGCTCAGTATTTAGCAGGCATAGCTGTAGTGTAGTGGTTCATGTGATTGTTGGCTTGAAACCTTTGACTAAAATTTTGCATGCATGTTTAGGCCATTTTAGACATCACCAAGGTAACCTTTTCATTTGGGTCCAGTAGAATGATTTACCATGATGCAGCTGGTCAGGTAGTTGAAGACTGTTGCCTTCAGTTTGAAGTGCTCCCCCCGGATGATGGAGTAGGGCAGGGTGAGCTCCAGGAAGAAGGGCTGGAAGACAACGATTTCTGTACGAGGAGCTAATCCAAAACTTTGAGGGGACAGACAGAAAGCCTCCGTCTCCCAGGTGGTGATGGTGTCTGGGGCAAGTGAGGGACACATCCTTTGTACCGGACTCTCCGGAACAACAGACACTTAAACCGCTCAGGTTAAAGAAAAACTGTGCCTAGATCAATGTGTGATTAGTGACAAATTTTAAAAAAAAACCCACCACACACCAGAGACCCTGTTGCTGAAAAGCCAGGAACAATGTCAATTTCGCACCACTACATTTTATAGCATCTCAAACACCCTAAAAGCCAAAGTCTGAATGTGCTTATCCTGTCACGGCACAATGACCTAATCTTTCAGTGGCAGCCCACCTGACTTCTACCAGGTCCCATAGCCAAGTCTCAGGGAAGAAATTGTCCCTACTGATGGAGCCGGAGTATTATTTGGCACAGGAGCTGCCAGTGCAGGAGCAAGTTCTTTAGACACAAGGGGTAACCCAAAACCTGAAATGAAGCCAAGAAGAATTTAACCAGATGTTGACAGCTCTGACAGTGAAATGTTTACATGCTGTTAAAAGAAACTCACCAAAGCAGCCTTGGTAATATTCTCTTCCTTTGAACTTCACACATGAAGGCATTTGAACAAACAAGTTTGTTGCCATCTTCAGTCCAACATTCTAGACAAAATGTATAATCACTTACGTTCATGACATGTGCAATGTTTTATCTTGTACATTAAATGTCAAGTACCTGGAAAACTGTGTAAGGGTCGACATAGTCACCACTCCCAGGATATGGTGGGAAAATTGATCTTTTGGCCCTCAGTCAGGCATTCCGTAGAATCTTGAACTTCATATGGAATATAGGATACACTGGTCACAGGCAGCAAGTTGAATATCTGAAAACAAAACTAAACTTCCAAGTCTTTGGATTCCAGGCTTACTCGTCTTCAAACATCTGTGACAAGCATCAAAACACTGCCTTTATCCATCTTTCAGCTGCTTCCATTAGGGGTCACCACAGTGAAACATCAGTTTCCACCCAACTATCTTCATCATCCTCAAATCTCACAGCAATTAATTTCTACACACCGTTACACAAAAGATTACACATTTTGATCCCAGCAAGTACCTTGTCTGCATTTGAAATTTTGAAATGCAAATTGTGCCAACAAAAACCCAGGACTTTTGCACACCTTAAGACTTGTTTGCAGGAGGAATGGGACAAAATTACACCAGACACTAAAGTAAATAAAATCGTAATCTTTCAGAAACATTGTCATAATCACATCATCACCCCCCTCCTTACTGTTACTGTTTTCTTCCTTAGTTCCCAGATATCCTTTTTTTAATAAGCTAATTTAAATGTTTTTTTCATGATTTTCTTCTTCCAAGCCAGTGTATCTGTTTCAATATGAAGAGGTAATGATGTATACCAGCTCTTAAATTAGCACAAAGATACTTTTTCTTCTTTGATAAATTAAAAAGTACTTAATTTTCCTTTAAAATAGTCATGTTTAATCTTACAATGTGTAAATAGCTTGGGCTTACTCCGAACCTCATCTGCCCAGTCCTGTTTACACTTTTTTCCCTCTCATCAGTTTTTCAATATCAGTTTTTTGCAAATGGTAAAACTCTTTTTTAAACCCATATTTACAACACTTTATATTATGTGTGATTTTTAAGTAGCACAAAAACTACTGTAGTTTTATGCACAATTTTAAATATTGAACGCCAATGAATACAAGTGGGTCCTCAAATAAGACTTAAAAGTAGACAGGGAGGGGGCCTGCCTAATATAAAGCGGCAAGGCATTCCACAGTTTTGGACCTACCACAGCAAAGGCTCTATCCCCCCTAGTTTTCCGCCTGGCCCTCGGTGCCTCCAGAAGAAGCTGATCTGCTGATCTGAGGCACCGCGACGGATTATATGGACGCAAAAGTTCCACAAGATAAGATGGTGCCAGCCCATTTAAGGATTTATATGTAGGCTGTTTCATGTTTCCCTACTTTTTCAGAATCAGAATCAGCTTTATTGCCCAAGTGTGACGGATGCACGAGGAATCTGACTCTGGTATATCGGCTCTCAAAGTGCACATTGCACATTGAGAGCCGAATTCTAATCACACACTGGATCTTGGAAAAATTCTTCAAGTTTAAAACCTTTTAATAATGTACACTGTATAATTTGTTCAGAACAAAATGACATCACAGCAGTCAATGGAAACCAGTCATCAACCCATGGAGGCTGTGTTCAAAATCAAAGTCGAAAACTGAAATCACAGGCTCATCCAAGTTGTATGAATTTCATCACAGCAACTCATAATGTGATTCAGAAGTGTGTGTAGCCCCCACCTGCCTGTATGCACTCCCTACTACATCTGGGCATGCTCTTGAGGAGTTGGTGGATGGTGTCCTGGGGATCTCCTCCCAGACCTGGATCAGGGCATCAGTGAGCTCCTGGACAATCTGTGGTGTTACTTGATGCACCGATACATAATGTCCCAAAATTCTCAGTTGGATTTAGGTCAGGGGAACGTGAGTCAATGGCATCAGTCCAGTCATTTGGGCCACATGGGGCCGGGTGTTGTCCTGCACCAGAAGGAACCCGGGGCCCACTGCACTAGCGTAAGATCTGACAGTCGCTCTGAGGATTTCATCCTGGTGCCTCACAGCAGTCAGGGTACCATTGGCTGTGACATGGAGATCTGTGCAGCCTCTCAAGGATAAGCCTCCCCAGATCATCGCTGACCCACCACCAAACCTGTCATGCTCGATGATGTTACAGACACCATAACATTCACCACGGCATCTGCAGATTCCTTCACCCCTGTCACATGTGCTCAGTGTGAACCTGCTCTCATCTGTGAGGAGACTGGGGGCCAGTGGTGGTCCTGTCAATTCTGGGGTTCTCTGGTGAATGCCAGTCGAGCTGCACGGTGGGCTGTGAGCACAGGTTGTACTAGAGTTTGTCAGACCCTCATGCCACCCTCATGGAGTCTGTTTCTGACAGTTTGGTCAGAAACATGCACACCAGGAGCTGCTCCTGAGTTGATACCCTTCTATGGCCCTGTCCAGCTCTCCTAGTGTAACAGCTGGTCTCCTGGTATCCCCCTCCATGCTCTCGACAAGACTGTGCTGGGAGGCACAGCAAACCTTCTTATGACTACATGTATAGATGTGCCATCTTGGAGTAACTGGACCTGACCTGTATAACCTGTCTGGGCTGCAGGTACTGCCTCATGCTACCAGTAGTGACAAGGACACTAACAAAACACAAAACCTGACAAGAATCAGTCTGGAATGATAACATGAGAGCATTTGTCTGTGGCCACCACGTGCAGAACCATTCCATTTTGGGGTGTTGTCTTACTTTTGCCTCTCTATTGCAACTGTTGTCACTTTCATTTGCACCAAAGCAGATGAAACTGATTCACAATCACTTGTGGTTTCTAAATAGACACACTGTTATCCCTGACGTTTAACTGATTTGGTGTTATACTGTGATGATTAAGTGTTCCCTTAATTTTTTTTGTTTTGTTTTGGGTTTTTTTGTTTGTTTGTTTTTTGAGCGGTTTAAAAAGGCTACAAGGATGAAACAACTTCAGTGAATCCAATACAGAGCAGGCCAGACCATTATCTCTAATTCTGATATAGTGGCATATGGGAATACTGTAGTGTTATATCAGCTTCTACACAGTAATTGTCAGTTCTAAATAGGACTTTTTGTACAGTAACCTTACAAAATAATAGTTAAATAAGGGCTAACACTTGGCTTCAGAAGTAAGACTACCGTAGGTTACTAGTATAAGTAGTAAACTAGTGAGCTGGACATGGTAACATTAACCGTTTACAGCAAATAAACACTGTTTAATCCACTCAGACATTTTTCCTAATGTGTTTTTGGTTTTGGAAATGCGACAAGACAAAAACCTCCAATTATACCACTTGAACATTTCCTAAGCTTTACAGAGCCATGAGTACACTGATTATAACCACTGTGGTCTTAACAGTGGAACAAAAGTGCCACCAAAGTAAACTTCAAATAGCAACAAAACGAAGGAAAAAGCCATTGGAACAGCGGCAACACAGATTATTATAACAAGTATTTTTTGGTGTGTGCAGTGGAAAACCTAACACAGCAATGGCCGCCTACCGTAAATCCTAAGACATTGCTGATAGCCTTGTACCACATAACTGTTTTATAATTAAGATAACTTGGCATGGTTTGGATTACTGCATAGTGGTTTCAATACTCTCTTTACTCCAGCAGTTAGTCTGCCTCTGCACAGAAGGCAGGGGAGTTTAGACTGAACCTGTTCTTGTGAATCTTACTGTGCCATCCAGATAGAATCAAGCATGTCTAAGTGTTTTTATCTGTGTCACTGGCGCATGATGTAGATGTCTGTCCCTTTGAGGGGGTAAATGAGGAGAGGAAGTGAGACTGACACAGAGATATTAGGAGTCATTTCAGAGTTCAGGTGGCTCTGTCGATGCCTCTAGGAGGCAGTTTCAACCAGAGGTTTGTCAGTGGAGAAATAAAGAATGTCTTTGTGGAGTGAAAGGTGATCTGTGTGTCCCGAGGGTGGACATGTTTTTACATTTTCTGTAGCTTTGGCACTTTCCTTGTCTCACAATGAGACTATTATGTGGGTGTCTCAGTGCATGCATGTGCATGTTTCTGCTCCTCCAGCTGATAAAGATGCAGGTGCAAAAGCTGACCAGCTGATTATACAGCCCATCTGTCTCCCGCTGACATCTGGTTTTGACACATATATCTCCACAAACTAGAGCAGAATCAAAGACAGCTTTGTCTGTCAAATGATGACGCTGCCTCTCCCTCTCTAGTCTGCTGTCATTCAGGGCAGTTGGCTTGAGGGAGTGTAGTGGAGGTCGCAGATCTTCTGTCCTGTAAATAGCCACAGTCTCTTTAGTGGTTTTATGGCATCATCATAGAGCAGTTACACTCGGTCAGGGTGCTGTAAAGCAGGGGTTTTCAAAGTGTGGGGAAGTGAGCGTCTCATTCATCACTATTGGTGTCGCCTACTCTATGTTCCACTCTGCCTTAACAGTGGCTTTCAATAATAAATGTAAACATCTTTTAAGCAAACAGTTTTGCAACACAATTCCACTCAAGGACTATTACACCAATTTCTTTAAAAACAAAAAAATGTATCCAGTGTTCTCTCACATTTACACTTGATCTGCAAGCTATTCTTATATAAAATTTACCAATTAACCCTCTACAGTCCAATCACAAAATGAAAACAGACACAATGGCCTTACTAAAACAGCCCGATCCAACAAAATCATATATTGTCTTGTAGCAGATATCTAAACAATCAGCTGCTGAGAGGGGGGCAGTCAGGTCTTCCACGCCTTGTCCAAACAAAAGACCCCATAACTATGGTTGGTAGTTTACTGACCAACCATAGTTATGGGATAGCATAAAGTAAGCATCAGCTTACAAGTCAGTCATAATGTGGAACATGGGCTAACTGGACAAAAAACCCCACAACACAGCAGGCAACAGAAAAGAGGGCTCCTGTCTCTTTTGCCCCTCACACCAACCTGCCAAACAACCAGTGCACAGGTGATATTAATTCATCTGTCCTCTCCCGCTGTTCCCCAGTGACACATCAACATTAGTGGTGACAAAAACCCAAATACCTTCTCGGCTCCTATACATTGTATGGTCTATTTGTGCAGTTTTACTCAGGTTAAATGTTTGAACACGTCAAATTCTGTCGTCACCAAACAAGACCATCACTGTGCACCATGCCCAGC